ACACTTCAATTTCCCTGTACATGAAAACGGGTAAGCCGTATGTGTTGACAGCTGTGTATCGCCCTAAATATGGCCTCGTCTCCTTCATCAACGCAAGGCTTAACAGGACTATGCTCTCAAGTATGCCGCCACAAGTGACGGAACATCATCGGTAACCATCACAGTTGGTCATGCGACGGTCATCAATGTTATACAAATGTAGCGTCTTCAAAAATTACTCACACCGACACGTTGTAACAAGTCACCTGCTTACACTTTATTCACCTGTTCTTGCACCAGTTATAGGCACTCTTATAACTATCGGTTCGGTCACATACACAGGACTTAACTTCTCCCCGCTATTATCTATTCTGCACCCCACTTATCCTGCACTTAGCAGCTCTGCTCTCAGCGACTCCGCACACAGCGACTCCGCACACAGCGACTCCGCACATAGTGTCTTCGCACTCAGCGACTCCGCACTCAGCGACTCCGCACACAGCGTCTTCGCACTCAGCGACTTCACACTCAGCGACTTCGCACTCAGCGACTCCGCACTCAGCAACTCCGCACAAAGCGTCTTCGCACTCAGCGACTCTGCGCACAGCGTCTTCGCACCCAGCGACTCCGCACACAGCGCCTCCGCACTCAGCGACTCTGCGCACAGTGACTCTGCGCACAGTGACTCTGCGCACAGCGTCTTCACATACAGTGACTGTGCGCACAGCGACTCCGCACTCAGCGACTCCGCACACAGTGACTCCGCACACAGCGACTTCGCACTCAGCAACTCCGCACACAGTGACTCTGCGCACAGCGTCTTCACATACAGCGACTCCGCACACAGCGACTTCGCACTCAGCGACTCCGCACACAGTGACTCTGCGCACAGCGACTCCGCACACAGCGACTCCACGCACAGTGACTGCGCACAGTGACTCCGCACACAGCGACTCTGCGCACAGCGTCTTCACACACAGTGACTGCGCACAGTGACTCCGCACACAGCGACTTCACACACAGTGACTCTGCACACAGCGTCTCCGCACTCAGCGACTCTGCACACAGCAACTTCGCATCTCCACCGCTGCCCTCACCTACGCTCCCTCAGACCCGCTCACCCGTCTGTCCCGGGCGGGGGGTCCAGCCAACACCCGCCTGGCGACGGCATGAGGGTTGAGGTTCCGTTGACGGCTGGAGCGGCAGCGGCGAGATATCTTCACTCTTGGTTCCCGGCAACAACTCTCCTTGCTCACTCACACTCCCGCTGAAATCCCCCTGCTCATCCCGAGTTCTCCCGTGCTTCCACTTAAGCTGCCGCCAGGCAGGTTCCAGTTGTCCCATTAATCTCCTATCATCACCCCCCATCTCCGTCTCCTAGGCGCCAACCTCCAGTCACAGCGTACCCACCTGTTCGACCTCGGTTGCACCCGCTTCTCCCCTTAAATGCTGGCGGTTTGTCTGCAAACCTCATGCTGCAACAGTGGCAGAGTACGGCACATCAGCCTGGTATGAGATCTCGTACACATAAGAACCTGGAACACTGAAACCGACACCAATCCCCTGGTTCCCATGTTATGGTAAACATTCTGCCACCAAATAGCCAAAGGGACATGCAAACTGCAAGGGAGTTTACACGTGTTCTTGCCAACGAAAACCCAACGATCACCCAGCACCTCAACAATGTACCTTGCTGGGATCATGCTGTCGCTATCCTAGAAACTCACCCAGGTCCGTAAGAAAACTCGCGAGCAGAGTTTGAACAAAGTGGGCCTCCAGAATAAACACCTCGTAAGAAACCCAAACATCACAACCTCCTGGCTCTGACATTCCTCCTCGAAGACACTGGTGTACCATTAACCGCACCAGAACATCAACGGGTCGATGCAATCATCTCCTTCACGAATAGGAAAATAAAAGCCAAGCCACAGTGCAATTGTGACCGTGGAAACCCATCTATGAACCGTATAGTAAAACCACTGTAGTCTACGCTTCTTCAACAGATGAATAGCCAAACTATAACAAACTCGGGCCTCAAGCCAAAGCTGTTAATCCATTATCAATGCCTACCTTATTACAGACCAATTCAGACCTTATTGGTCACCCCGTGCCCGTATAAATCTCAACGTTAATCCTACAAAGTCCCATCACAAGGCAGAAACACAGACAAAAGTTATGTTAGTAAACAAAAACTGTTTTGTGTATAAAGTTTGATCATTGGTGTCATGCTACCGTCTGTGATCTTGCATGCTGATGCTGCTGCTTGCTTGATATGTGGATGCACAACACTCAGGTTGTACATGTACAACAATAAACAAATACAATTATGAAGCGTTAAACAATACACTATCATCCATTTACATCCCAATCGTGTTTGTCGGTTGCTACGGGCATCACTACTCTCCAGAGTAAAAAAAAAAAAGTCCCACGACTTTTTTTGGCCGTATGATTTTTTGTCGCCCGTATTGAAATGGCTGTACGTCGTGTGGACCAGAAAAACTAAATTTCCCTGTACAAGAATGTGGGGTGAACCGTGTGGGTTGAGACGGTATGTGAAGCCCTCTCGTGGCTCACAAATCTCGGTATTTGCATTTAGCTCCTGAACATAGTCACATGCAAAAATCTGATTACAGTATTATGATTGTGTACCCAGGAAAGCCTCACTGAGCCTGGTTAAAAAAGTATAACCCCAATTGAGTAATATGCCGGTACATTTTTCAGAGGTTTGTGGTTCGGGCCTAGCGGTCGCCCCGGTTATTACTGTGGGTGTTGGAACTGTAATAGAACCGCACGCTGTCTGCTTCACAGTTAATGGTTTGCAAACTGCAATGAAAGTGTCAATGGTTCAATGCCATCTCCCGGAGCGGCAGTTAAAACAAAGGGGGCATTTTTGTAAAAAAAAAAAAAACTCAATCCTCTTCACCACCTATCTACCCAGCAGTTTGCACAAGTCGCGTGTGGCGAGGTAAAGCATGGGATGGGTAGGCCCATCCATTCCGAGACATTCTGGGGATGATGAATCGACAAAATTCCCCCTCACCCCTTCACTACCTTACCCCCTCACCACCTAACCCCCTTACCAGCTCACCAACTCACCACCTCATTCCCCCTCACCACACCTCACCCCTTCACCTCATCCCTTCACCACCTCAACCCCTCGCCACCCCAGTCCCCCTCACCCCCTTCACCTCACCATCTCACCCTGCTCATCACCTCGTCACTTCAACAGGCTGCGGCCTCACAGTGGCACAGAAGTTCCGCCGGCTGTCCGTGGCCACGGCTCCCGGATCTCTAACAGGAGGCTGGGGGGGGGGGGCAGAAGGACCTCCTCACCTTCACTTAAAAACATGACATTTACGATTCGAGCGCGAGGAAAACCTCACCCCGTATTTTCATGTATTTTACTTGAGCTTTCACTGCTGTGTACCCAACATTCTAAAGGTTTTTTCCCCGCCTCAAGACTGTGAGAGGGCAGTTGAACTCACTGAAGTGGCGATGCTTTAGTGAATTGTGCCTGGAGCATACAATAACAAATCACACCGTTCCATTATTGAAGGGTTCATCTGTTACCCAATAGCTACTCTTAGTAACTGTACTCATGCCAATTTGGAAATTGCTCATCATAATTGTGTTTTAAACTTTGTTTTGATTCTCATCATCAGGCCTCGTGGTGTAAACAAGCGCAGTCTCCAGAATAAGAATATTTATTTATACTAGAGAAGAAATGCGATGAGCTACAAAGCTTTTTTTCATAAATGTCCAGTGGGTGGGGGCGGGTAAGAAAGTTACAACAAATTCAATACAATAAAGTAGGTAAAAAGCAAGTGTTTTTCCATGCACACACTGTTATTTGCACTCAAAAGTAGAAAATACATTGTCTTGACCCCAGAATTAATCAAATGTTAAGTGATGAATAAAAGTGGGTGGTTTCCTTTCGATGTGTTTACATTTCTTAATGCAAGCCACCAGCTTTTAAATTTGTTACAGGCCCCAGGATCGGCGGGACGTTGCCCGGCTCTTTAAATCTTGAATTGTCACGCGAGACGAGTCTGTGGACACAAATTTCAGCTCGTTGTGGTTTCGTAGATCCGAAAATATTAAGAAGCGTCAAATATTTGCAAGACTATAAACAGACAACAGGGCAAATGGAAAAAAGTGTGTAAACCCCCCCCCCACGATAGTCGTGCAAAGTACAAAAATGTAAACAAATCACCCAAACACATCCACAATACAAACTAAACCATTCCCCGTCCTACCAGGCAAAGCCCTCTGACGTATAAACGTATTATTAATATTACACACTTTCTATTTAACTCACTCTGTCTGTTCATGTTGTCGTTGTATCCTCAAATCTTGTAACTCAATTTTAACCCACTTCCCAATGTGGTATCGACTGTAAACTTGGCATACTTATGTCATACTGATGACAATACTATATTCTATCATTAAAAATAAAAATATATTTTTTCACATTATTTTTTATATGTTATATTTCGGCTTGGCTCTTATTGTCCACGCTCAACTGACAAGCTTCGGGCCAGTTTCTAGAGTCGTGGAGTTCTTACATTACTAGCACGGTACATTTCATTAAAGCGTGTTTAATTTTTGTTAAAAAAATATTACTTATTTTACAGAAGCGACCTGGACATCTGTGAAACAGATCTTCAACGCTCATCCGATTCCTCCGGTATAAATAAACATTCCGATGTATTAACGCCACTTCTCTGGCCTCTGCTTATGTGCTATGGAAACTTTTATGAAGAAGGGTCTTTACCCGAAACGTCTCTCCTGTCCATCAGTTTTTCCTCTCTCAGTTTGAAATCCGCATTGTTACCGACGAACGCGTCGGCCGCCTCTTCACATGCCCCTGTGGAGCCGCCGCCGCCAAATAAAACAACTTTGGTCACGCCTCACTCGCCCAACCCTGCCGTTGGCTGACGTTTCGGATACCTTACCCCCTGCGCAAGATGGCCCTCCGAATTGCACGCGGGGCGATGACGTCAGGCGAAGAACCCCCGCGGTGACGTCATAGGCGAGCAGCTGGAGGCCACGTGACAAGGGCGGGGCTTAACTCGGTTGAGCGGTGGCGCAGCGGTTAGTGCCGCTGCCCGGTCTCAGTTCGATTCAAGGGCCCGGGGCTCGGCACGCGTCGCAAGCGGTGAGTCACCATTTGTTACTCTTTGCGGAGGTAGGAAAAGTAAATAGATCGACGTTTCGATCGCCACACAATCAAGACGACTGCATTTCTGGACATTCATCGGCAAATCGCGCGTGCTCCCCCCCCCACCATCGGAATGGGCTCCACTGATGTTGCTGCTGGCAGCAATGAAAGTGGTTTAAAAGTCAAAAGTCTCCCTCTCTGCCTCGCGTTACGCCGTCTCGTAGTTCGATGTCAAACGAGGTCGTAAACATGTTCATCGCTTCCAAATTTGCTATTCGCCCGATTACTTAAGGCCCCGAAATGTGAAAGCTGCGTCCTCGATCGCCAAAAAAAGTTGTTGGGAATTCGTGGTTTGGTTTGCCACCGCTGACTTTAAGGCCCCCCGCGCTCCGCTCCGCCCCGTGTCCTCTGGACGTGTTGCCGAGGTGTGCGTTCGCTGTTCGTGGTGGCGTCTTTCACAATTGATTGCGTTGTTTCGTTCACGCGTTATGAACGGAGCTTTCGACCCCGGTGCCAAGCGCCGTTCTTCCAGCCTCGTCGACGTCGTCGCCGCGATGTGATACGGACATTTTAATGAGCCACGACGACGTTGGTCCCAGTGAAGTTAAATAAAGTCTCCTCCAGCCGTGGGCAAGTGTGGCTAGAGGGGTTGGCTCGTTCGTTGATAACCCTGCAGGTGTTACAATAGCACGCTTATACTGGTAGGAACGAAGTTGTAAACTGAGTGTACCAGCCTGCAATAGATTAATGTGTCCGTCCGTCCGTCCCCTTTCAATACTTTAACGAAGTGAAATCTCGTGCTGTTGGGTGTAAAATCAGCAATAGACAGCGCAGAGACTTGATATGTCTTATTACACCCAACATTTGGAAGTAACAATGTCGTAAAATTGCGCAAAATTCCAATGTTCCTACCAGCCCACCCTGCAGGGACCTGTTTATTAACATGTACTACTTTGTTGTTGCGTATGGCGTTGTGCTCAGGAGCTAAATGCCAATGCCGGCGATCTGCTGGCCACAACGAGAGTGCTTCAGAACAGACGAGAGTTTCGTGTTTGGTTTTGCATAACCACAATCGCACTGCAGTTGCGCGCTGTGCCTTCTTTGTCTGGAATGTTCCGTGTATAATGGAGCTGTACAGGTCGGCCTGTTGATGTTGTGATGCGATTGAGTATTGTGCACGCCGTGGCTCCCACGTCTTATAGCCGAGAGAGTTAAAATACGCAATGTGTACTAAGATCGCTTGTAGACATATCGAGGCTTTAGGATACCATCGTTTTATCTGCACCCTAGTCCTGTTATTGCAGTGGAGTATCCACGAACGAATAGCCTTCTTTGCTTTTTGGGTAAAAGGCAGCAGTGATACATTTTGTATTTGGATTTTGCTACCATTGAGATTCTCAGGAGGCTTAACGGCATTTATTGGTGTCGAGAGAGATGTCCTCTCATTGAACAAACACGCTGTGTCGATTGGTCTGAAAGCAGCAGCTATTGCCACCGTGGAGAAAATGAAATCAACATGAGCAACTCAAAGTGTCACAGTGCGCGAATGGAATCAATTACCCTCCAGACTGCGGAGCGGAAGTTGCAGAAGAGAAATACATTTTTTTGTGCAGAAAATGCAGACCGTGTTGTGTTAATATAGCCCGTCGGGGTTTTTGTTGCAGCGGTGTCTGTTGGTTGGCTGCTTTTAATACAGCCAAGGGGGATATCGCGTGCTATACGGGGGGCTCTTTGTTTATTGCAGATATCCCCTTTTAAGTGACCTTGGTTCGAGAATCGGTGTACGCATTATTTCGCCAAATCGAGTGTTTGTGTGCGCGCAGTCATTGTGGGGGAGCGGTAGCGCACCGGTTAGCGTGCTGCGAACTAGTGGCGATGATCTGAACTGGACATGGGCCTCCCGAGCTATGTCGACTCAGCCTCAAATGAGTACCTGGTGAGGCGTGTAAACATCGCCACTAGGGAAACAAAGGCGGCCGGGCGTGGTGTTGGCCACCCACCCCGTCGTGTGCCGCGCCGGCCTTGAGAGGTGCTCACTCACAGCACTTGCCCCAACAGTCTGTCCATGCTATCCGGGGTATCTTTGTTTTTTTGCAGTCATTGGTGTTGAGGCTAAGAACACCAACTCAAAGTTGTTTTAATCACTGGTCTTAATTCGAGACAATGGCATTCATTGGTGCCAGCTCGCTACTCTGACCTCTGAGCCACTTGGCCAATTGGCCACCGCTGTGTTTCACTATTATGACACATTGAAAAGGGGAAGCAGCAGTCAATGCGGTTTGTGATGGTGTCTGGATATCAGAAGTTGAAAAGAAGTTAAACTTCCGCGCTTGGAAATGGGGCAAGTGGTAATAATAAGTAATACAAAAAAACACTTAAAAAAAACACGCTTTCATGAAATGTACCGTACTAGTAATGTAAGAACTCCACGACTCCAGGAAGTGGCCCCGAAGCTTTCCACAACGTAAGGAGACCGTGGGCCAATTACAGCCAACGTCAGTTGAGCGTGGACAATTAAGACCCAAGCCAAAACATAACATATAAAAAATGTTTAAAAATAAATATTTTTAATGATAGAATATAGTATTGTCATCAGTATGACACAAGCATACCAAGTTTGCAGTCGATAGCACATTGGGAAGTGGGTTAAAATTGAGTTAAAAGATTTGAGGAAACGACAACAACAACGACAGAGCGAGTTAATAAAAATCGTGTAGAAATATCAGTGGGTGGATCGCCATCGCCAACCGTGCACGAGTGGAAGGGAGTCTGCACACGAGTCATCCTGAGAAGGGACCTTCATTGTTTTGATCAACACGGACACTTGTGGGTCACGAACCACACTTGTTGACGACCAGCCTTTGTCTTCAGCACTTTGTCTAACAACAACAACAATCGCCATTCGCCACTAAGTGGCGGTGACGTCACCACGACGCTTGTGCCAGGCCATGTGCACCTTGAGGCCACGTGAAGTGTCGAACGTCCGCTGGCAGGAGGTCACGGGGCAGACCCAGGTGCCACGGGTCGACTGACTGTGATGACTGGCTGATGCACCACCTGTGCCCCCTACTGCTTTGCTTTAGCCACCCGGCGCTCCGCTCGTTGTTAGCGTCGCTCCTCCGCCCTCCGTTGTTGTTGGAGGGCGACTGTCTCCAACTGCCCAGTAGCGTCCTTCACGAGCCTCCACCACCTTATACGCTCTCTCCTTCCTCCCCTCTCTCTTGCCAATCTGCAACTTTTTGAGGGTTTTCTCCCCAATCCCCCTTGTTTCACGCCTTCCTTCCTCACGCCCTTCTTTAATAATCTTCTCTGGTCGTGCCCCCCCCCCCCCCTGTCCTTTGCATGACCCCCACACTTTAATCCTCAATCTTGTTTTATCGTGGAGAAATCCGATGAGCTATGAAGCTCTTTATCACAGATGTTCAGTAGGGCCGGGTCAGAAAGTTACAACAACAGACAGTACAACCACACACGATAGCAGTGCCAAGAATATGAAAGGTAAACAGATAACACAAAAATACGTATTTAAGTTCGAATTAAGTACAACAATTCCCAAGCTTGGGCAAGGGAGAGCAAAAGAACAGTAAAACCAGACCAAGACACAACATACACAGTCCCTCAATAAATTGCACATTAAAATTAAACTATCGATATATGGGTGAGAATGAAAGTTACAAATCACATCCAGCACTAATCTGCTTCAGGATATTTTTTGAAGGTTTACGATGTTAAGCGAGGAAACGGAGTTGTTCCAAAACGCCGGTTCTGCAAATTCACCAATTCCTCATCTAGTTCTTAGGATAGTTGAAAGTTAAAATCATGACGTGCTCCCGCATGAACTCTACATTCGTATGAGTGCTAACGCCATAACATCCAACCAGGCCGTACCTCTAACCCTACTTTGACCAAACACCAGCCGTAATTCAAACCAGACCAGACAAACAGGAGCCCTACACCAACCCAAACAACACCATCCAATTAGACTCCAGACCTTTCCATTACTATAACCACACTATCCAACCAGGCACTAACCCAGGGGTCGGGAACCTTTTTGGCTGAGAGAGCCATGAAAGCCACATTTTAAAATAAATTTCCGTGAGAGCCATATAATACATTTTTAACACTGAATACAACTAAATGCGTGTATTTTTACCTAAGACCACCAATTTTAGAATATAAGTCTCTGAATGTATCCTTTTTAATAACGTTCTACCAACAACCAATAATAAATAAAATACTTCTTACCATTAATGCGACTTCTGGTGCTGCATGGTTTTGCTGATGGCTTTGTAGTCTAGTTGATACTAGCTTGCACTCTGGACAGTAGCTCTTGGCGCATGCCTTCTTTCTGCTGTCCCCCGCTGGATATTTCGATGCAAATGTAGCATGGCGTGTGTCAAAGTGCTGCTTTATATTTGACCATTTCATCGATGAAATTTTATCATTGCATATTAGACGCACCGCAGAACCTGCTCTCTCCACAAAGGCGAATTCCTCCGTCCATTCGTGCTGAAATGTGCGGTACTCCTCATCTTTTTTTTACTTTTCGCAATCTTCATCAAAAGGGTTTGCTCTGCATAAATTAGCTAGCTGACTATTTGATTAAAAGGACGGAAGTTTACTTCTTAACCTCACAACGACCCGTAGGCTATTGAATTATCCATTAAAAATAGAGTTTTGGTGTCGGACAGCTGGGATTGGCTCCAGACACCTGCAACCCTGAGCAGGAGCGGTAGAAAATGGATGGATGGATTAAAATGCATGAGAATGTTTTATATTTTAAACGTTATTTTTAACACTGTGATTTCTGTAATGTTTTACTTTAATGTCAGCGGAATTATTCATTATTTATCATGTTAAGAAATGTCAGCTAAGATTTATTTGCGAGCCAGATGCAGTCATCAAGAGCCACATCTGGCTCGCGAGCCACAGGTTGCCGACCCCTGCACTAACCCTTGCCATTACTATAACCACACCATCCAACCAGGCTCCAGCCCTTGCCATTACTATAACCACACCATCCAACCAGGCTCCAGCCCTTGCCATTACTATAACCACACCATCCAACCAGGCACTAACCCTTGCCATTACTATAACCACACCATCCAACCAGGCTCCAGCCCTTTCCATTACCATAACCACACCATCCAACCAGGCTCCAGCCCTTTCCATTACCATAACCACACCATCCAACCAGGCTCCAGCCCTTTCCATTACCATAACCACACCATCCAACCAGGCTACAGCCCTTGCCATTACTATAACCACACTGTCCAACCAGGCACTAACCCTTTCCATTACGACAACCACACCATCCAACCAGGCTACAGCTCTTGCCATTACTATAACCACACCATCCAACCAGGCTACAGCTCTTTGCCCTACCCACTTTTTTTTGGTTCGCTTTTCACTTTTGCCGTTGACAGCGCCGTCGTAGTGGTCTGATCGTGGGGCTCCGCATTTGGAGAATTTGGCTGCAGCGAATGGGGCAGTCGCATCAGTTCATGGGTGGGGAGTGACTCTGGGGTCAGATTGGGGGGACAAAGTCTCGAGAGATCAGTCTGTTGTCTCAGATTCCAGTGAAGGTTCGGCTACACGCCGTCGGCACAAAGAGAGGCGTGCGGGTGAATTACAGCGCAGAGTTTCGTTGGCAGGTGAGTTTACACGCGCGCTTTACAGGTGTGTGGCAAATATTAGTTACGCTTGTCTTAGTGACAGGTCTTGCATTTACATTAATTTAGGATAATGGCCCATTAGAGGATAGCTTTGTGCCTTTAGCACTACAGCCGAAGCCAGTGCTGCTCTATTTTGTTCTAAATGGTAACTGTATGGATAGAGAGGCATTTTATAGTTACATTTATTTTAATAAATGTAACTATAATACCTCGCCTAGGTCGACTCGGCCTCAAACGAGTAACTGGCGTGGTGTGAACATCGCCACTGGGGAGACAAAGGCGGCCGGGCGTGGTGAATCAAAGCCCCGTGCGAAGCCGGGTAGTAAAGCTAGTCCTACATACAAGAGTCAGTCTATGGGGGGGGGAGAGGACAGTGGAGGCGATCTTGGGAAAGCATGGACGATGAGCGATAGATAACCTCCACCAGAACTTTACATTGACACTATAGGTATTAGACAAGTTACATTGGTAAAACGATTAAAGGTTTTTTTTTCCATTCGGTAAGGCGAGCAACAATTAAAGTTAAAGTATTAATTGTAATAAAAAAACTCCGACGAGGGCCTATTGGGAAAATGTTACATGTTAAAATCACAAGTCGAGTTTATTTAGTTGTGAAATCATGTTCTTGTAAATATATCAGCTGAAGGACACTGCGAATTGCTTTAAAGAATACTGTATGTAACCCACTGTCTCAGTATAAAATCAAATAACCAGTGTAAACTAAAGCCAACAGCTTTTTAAAAAAGGTGAATATTCGCTTGAAATGGTAACTTATAATACGGCATTGCCCATTAAGAGATATTTGTTTGCATTTGCTCGGAAGAGCACATTGCCTCCACATTAGAGGGCGGGGCCCATCACCCTGAACTGCAATATCACCCGGAAACCGTGTCCGTAATGTTGTTTGCGAAAAAAAAAGAATGGAGTTTATAAATAAGCGTGTGGGCCATAGTAGGGCGACACAAACCCCACACACCACGGCCTCCATCCTTGACCTTGACCACCCCCCCCCCCACTCCTCCAGCACCGTGTCCGAAAGTAACCCACGCCCCAACCCTCACACAACGATGTGTGACGAGGGGGGGGGGGGGGCGTTTGAGAATTGTGACGTCACATCAAAATGCGCAACGTTAAATAAATATACACAACACGTTCTACTTAATTAAATAGACTTTTTAATAAATCTCTTCTACAACATCAGAGTGCAGCGGCACATTAAATACACACTCCAATGACAATAGTTTAAAGCGATTTGAAGCATGTTTTATTTTGGGGGGGGGGTGGGGGGCAGAGCTTTGTGACGTCATATTTGAGGGGGGGTCTGACTTTTTGTGACGCCGTGTGACGAGGGGGGGGGGGGTAAAAAATCGTCCAAAATCACGTGACGTCATTTATGGACGGCCCCTAACTGCTGTGGTGTGTGAACATCGCCACTGGGGAGACAAAGGCGGCCGGGCGTGGTGAATCCATGTCCCGGGCGAAGCCGGGTAGTAAAGCTAGTCTCTATATAAAAGGGAAATTTGTGATTGTGTGTCTGTTCAAAAATTTTAGCGTACTTCCCGACATGCAACAAACTTGAAATTTGCCATGTGGGTACTTTCCAGACTGTACACCATGCAAAAAATATAAAAATAGACTTTTGGTTTTTGGGGGGGGGGGGGGCGCAATAATGCATAGATTTTGCACGGCAAGTGAGCTGTGACGTCACATCTGTGATGTTACATCTGTGATGTCACCCGCATGCGGCAGCGTCACGCAGCGTGCCTGCTGACGTCACGCATCCCCCCCCCCAACTCTCCGCGTAGGCCGTGCATTATTCCAAGTCTCGGGCGATCGGATCATTGGGGGGGGGGGCACATGCCACCCCCCCCCCCCCCCCTACTGGCTCCACCAGTGTGTGTGTGTCAATGAAATGCCATCTTTCTTCGTGAGCTTTTCTTCATTCGGATGTTTGCTCAGTTCCTGAATGATCGGGGCAATTTCCAGAAGATCCATGCAGTTGCTAGGATAACAGTCTGTACAAAGGTCAAACTCCGTGCCATGCTGCATTATGCAAACTGCTTCTCTACCCCAGATTACAGGCGTTGTGCAACCGTGCCAGGAACCATTTAACTGCTTCAGCCACCAGGAGTGGGTAATCCAAAGAGCCGTCGGGCTTAATCGGCCAGAAATAACTGCCGTCGAGAATTCTGACCCCCCCCCCCCCAAAACCATCTCACGAGCCTCGAAACCTCTTTTTCGGGAGGCTCCTGCATTTGGCATGTTTGGCCGATAATTAATTCCTCGCGAAGTAACATTTCACGTGTGGAAGGAAACTCGGGTTGAAGTAGAAAACTAGCATAAAGGCATAACAGCTCAAATGGTATGCAGATACAGGTCAGGGACCCACTCGATGTACAGTCGTGTTCTCCGATAACGGTCTAGTAGTTGCGTTCCTGAAGAACACCGCGTTATGGAAAAATCGCGTCATTATGAGTAAAATACAGTAAAACCTTGGATTGCGAGTAACTTTGTCTGCGAGTGTTTTGCAAAACGAGCAATATTTTAAAATAAATATTAATTTGATAAACGAGCGAGGGTCTTGCAATACGAGTAGTGTACGTATACGCTTTGTCTGCCGAGCGTCACGTGATCACAACTGATATACGAGTGCTTTGATATACGAGTGCTTTGGATTACAAACACGTTTACCGGAACGAATTATGCTCGCAATCCAAGGTTTTACTGTATAACATAGGGGGTTAAAGCACAGTCCGCGATGGCACGTGAGATGCGTACGTAGGCTGAGCAAAGATTTAAGGCGCAGTGGGTAGCATCTAGAAACATCCAGCAGCATCCCACCGCCTTGTGTGATGATGCTACGCCGAGGCAGCCGCACAACCGCCGCCTATTCCTGCTCGCGTTGCGACGTGGTTCTGTGCACTCGATCGCGTTCTATCCAATTCGCATCCGCGTTGCAAAACAAACAAAAAAAAACCGCGTTGTATCCAATTCGCGTCGTTGCGAAAACTCCACGGCGTTCCAGGAGGACGGACTGTACTTCCACCTCCTGACCACCTCGCAGTCCAGGGGCTGGCATGGGCCCTGCTGCATGGACTGAAATGGATCCCATCCCCGTCCGCCTTCCCCCTCCCTCCCCGTCTCTGTAGCCTGGCGCTGGGTCGCTTTGGCCTCGGTGCAGTTGCACCGCCTGCACTCTCGATAGCCATCCACACCGATCGTTTTCTTGAAAGGGCTGGCTGGATTACAGGGCGTTTTAATTCGCGTTACGAGAGCTGAACCGTTCGACTATTTAAGCTAATTAATTATAAGACCTGTTATCAGTTTGAATACTCGGCTAATCGGATCACACGGACATGGTTGAGAGAAAAAAACGTCCGACCTCTGTCCCCACTTGTGTGCGCGAGCGGTGGTGTAGCGGTACGAACCCGGCGACCCGAGTTAGATTCCCGCACACGGCCAACACCAGTGACGAATATCTGAACCGGTCCTGGGCTTCCCCTAGGTCGACTCAGCCTCAAATGAGTACCTGATGCAATGTGTAAACATTGAAAAATAGCGTTATATCTCATCGGATTCCTCCAGTATAAATACATATTCTGATTCCCTCCTATCTCCCAAGTTTGTGCACGCCTTATCACATTGTCTTCGAGCAGGTATGTTCCCTTGTTGCCTTTATCATCGTAATGTGTAAAATTTGCCACTGGGGAGACAAATACGATCGGGCGAGGTGCTGGCCACCCACCCCCTCGTGTGCCGTGGCCGGCCTTAATAGGTGCTCGCTAACAGCACTTGCCCCAACAGTCTCTGATGGCTATACGGGATGGGGGGTGGATCTTTGTCTTTGCTCCCAGGGCAGACGTGATGGGGTGCTCCCTGGTGGTGCTGTCGCTGGGCGGAGTGGGGGCAGTCTTGGCCAGCCTGATCCTCGCCAACACAGACTGGCTGCTTCCGCAGGCCGAGCCGGCAAAACTGGCCTACCTGGCAGATGCGCCGCTCAGCTCGCTCGATGGAGGTAAGTCAATCCGCTGGCAACAACGAACCAAGCAACAGATACTGACAGCATTCGGTCCACTCGCTCACTCACCCACCTATCACTCAATTATCCACTCGCCGTTTCACTCCATCGCCTACTGGGTCACCAACTCCATCATCTACCCACCCTTTCAGTCACCTACTTAATCACCCAGTCACTTACTCGCTCACGCACCGACTCATTTCAGTCACCCGATTCAATCTTTCACTAAACATTTAAACATTTTAATTCTCTCGTCTGCTAAATCACCCAGTCAAGCCTTCACATCCACTAACTCACTGACCAATTCAATACACACATATATTGCTTTAAGTACACGCCTGCGTGTGCATTAACCGCTCGCTGCCTGTTGCATGTTTTTTGTGGGCGACTTCATGCCCGTGCGGACACACCACGTGCAGAGTCACGCAAGTTCCGTGCGGGGGAGCTGTGGCGGGATAGAGGTGCGGTGGTCATGGCCGTGCGGCGTCCCGGATGATTTTTGTGCAGAGAGGTACACGCCACAAGTGCACGTCATTGTCACCCCCTCGAGCGTGGGTGCCGGGACAATGTTATTTCACAAGAGACGTGTAACGAACCATTGAGCCCCTATGCCTAAATGAAAACTTGCATCAAATTAGGGGCCGTGGCATGGCCCAGCGGGTCGCATGTTCACCATTTGGCGCGGATGTTCGTAAATTTTAATTTCAGTGGCCGCCCTGATTATTACTGCGGGTGTAATAACCACGTTAATACGCCGCGCTCTCCGCTTCACAGTGTACGCTAAAGATTCGCGCGTGGAAAAACCAACAGCACTTTAGATTTTCCATGCCCTGTAATGGCCTATGACCCAATCATCCCGAAGTTAAGCGAGAGTTAAGCCTGGTAGTAATTGGTTGGAAGACTGCCTGGGAATGCCAACACGAACACTTTTGTTGACGCCCCACAGCTTGAGCTGCGAAGCAGCTAGATTACATAGAAACGGATTCTTCAATCCATCCGTGTGGAATTTCTCGTGTGCAAGGATGTTGCCCGCGCGTGCGCGCATTGTCCACGGGCACTCCGGTTTCCTGCCACATGCCACTCACAAATTGTCCTCACATCCCAATGTCGGACAGCCCTGAAAAATCCCATTTTTGAAACGCAGTGAAGCTTTACTGGCTGAATAAAGAGGATTATTCACATTCAAATAATTGCGAGTTAAGTTATGACCCCTGAGGTTACCACATTTCATCTAAGCACAGAGGGGGTAAATTACTACAAACCCCCAGGCAAGCAAAAGGCTCTCAGTCGCAGTCATGCATGGCGAGTGGCCAATAGATTTGGTTCAGCGCCGAATGATGTGCGAAGTGAGCTGTGTTTGCATGTTGAACTTCTGTCGCACCGTACATAGCCAACCGTGCCGCTAGGAGGAAGAATGGTGAGTGGCACGTGCCGTGTGCGGCGTCTGTGCTGTGCAGGAGGCGAGCCTCCTCTCTGCACTGTCCCCGTTCCTCTCGGAGCACGACGTGCCACTGGCGGCTGTGGTGCACGAGAACGTGGGAACCGAGATCAAGGACTTCCAGCCATTCTTCCAGGGCCAGGTCTACCTCGACCAGGAGGTTTGGCAGTGATGGGGGCGGATAGAGTTTTGAGTCATGCTCGGAAAACATAAAAGGAACAGCCTTGCAAATGCTTACCCATGCCACTGCTGGCAGGAGGGCCTCCACTAGGAGGGAGCACTGCAGCCTCTCTACGGGGTAGTTTGGCCTACTCTTCCATGTTGGCCTGACATCATGGAAGTGCTCAGAGCATCCATACTTTTCTCCCTCCACATGGAACCTGCCCATCGACCGTGGTGAACCCATTTATACTGCTGGGGGGACAGAGGTGGCGGGAGGAGGTTATTTACCTTTCACCATTGTTTTAACTGCAACGCTGGGAGGATCAATCAAACCAATCACTTCTTTATTGCAAGTGCAGAGCGGTAGCATCCTGTTATTTAGATACCATTTCAAGTGCAATTCGATTAAATATAATTTAGCCAATGCCCATCTGTAACACTTACCCTGTATTATTTCTCGCAGCGGAGGTTCTATGGACCCAAGGAACGCTGGATGTTCTGGCTGGGCTTCGTGCGCCTGAGCGTGTGGCGTAACTTCATGCGCGCGAGGGAGGGCGGCTTCCAGGGGAACATGCTGGGCGAGGGGCGCATCCTGGGTGGAGTCTACGTCATTGGTGCTGGAGACCAGGTGAGCTCAGGCTGTGTAGTTTTGTGAATCATAGCGATGTGATCTATTTATTCAGAAGAGCATAAATATCTAAGACGCTTTGCTTTTAAGAAGAAACTACATTGAAGTTGGGAGTTTTTAAAATTCAGCGTCACCTGTGTTGTATGTTAACAGCTCCAATAATCCACCAACCCTTGCCTCTAAGGCGCTGCATTGAAGTCCTGCGGCCACTCCACTCGTGCTCAGGGGGAGTGACCCGAAGCCATGCTTTTTGTCTGATTGTCGGCGACAAGCAACAATGGTCTCCACCTACGTGTAGTCGGCGAGACTCGGCAGTGTCGGCATTGCCAAAAAGATTGACAACTCACGTGGTATTGAGATAAGCCTGCAACAATCAAATTAGAGCGATCAGTATATGCATTATCAGCTTGTCTTTTCACGTCTGGATAAAGGCCTTCTCACACTGTCGTGCTATTATCCATCTTCTGCACATGAAACTGATGTAACTACTCTTATGTCGATGCCATTCCATCGCCAGTCTTGTCCACGACGCATTAGACATTTTAAAGTAAAATAAAAGTTCTATGTTCCAAGATGCAAATGTAATTCAAGATTCTTTCTGCCACTGTGCATTTTTGTTTCCTGCTCCTTCCCTTCCACCATTGCTCACCCCCTCCCCCTTAGGGTGTGTTGCTGGATCATAAGGAGCGTCAGTTTGGAGACATTGTCAACAAGACGGCTGTGATGGATGCGGTGCGCAAAATCCAGCCCATCCTCAAAAAATTAAAATAACTACAAATATACGGGCGTTAACGGGCGCATCCTCCAAATCACCAGCTGAACTGATCTAGAAGTCCATTCGCACCAATGCAATTTTCATACACTGGCAGCATTTCTGGTATTCAACACGCTGTTTCTGGAGGCCATCGACTGGTTCAATATCTCAGCATGAATATAAACACGTTGTTAACAAACTGTCCACTATGTAAGGATACTACAATTATAAATCTGCCAATAATGTAATTTGCACCCCAATACTGGATCGCTTTGCAATGCTGTACTCTCGTGCACCATACATGCTTTTTGTATAAGCAATGTGGGTCTAAAATGTTTACCCAGCTATTGTAATTAATTTAATTATCTAATGCCAAGTTAGTATTAACTGAACGTCAGGGATTTTTCCCGTGCAGGCAGAACGTGTACACACTCTGCAGACCTGAAATTCGCTATGGTACCAACAGCAGCTCCGCAAGACCGTGTGCTCCTGTATCAATGACGCCTAAACCGTAAAGGGTTAATTATCGCTGGGGTTTGGACTGACTTCAACAGGGGCCCACCCTTGGGGAGGGCAAGGTGGCATCATTGTGGTTTCTCAGGTGTCCATGCACACCAAAGCCTGCTTGTGTTCGCTACGTTCCCTTGGTACCTTTGCCTTGTCTTGTGTGTCAATGACGAGCTGTGCCCTAAATTTACAGGACCGGTTCTGAGTATTAGCAGAAGATGGGGGAAGGCAGAGGGAGGTGCCTGCAATGTGAATAAATGAGCATTAACACTGCCTATTGTGGCTGCCTGGTCATTACACGTGTGCACATTAAATAATGCTAAACGGACAGTGTAGTTGCCAGAAGTTAACACTTCAATATATAATCTGTTCCATCAGGGACTGACATCTTGGTGTGGACTTGTGCCATTTGCCCAAGCAGAGCAAATTGCTGCACAGCAGATGTAATGTTACCTGCAGGTGCAACCTAATAAGCAAATCGGGTTTTTCTTATGTCTAGGGTTGCATACTGAGGTCCAACGAGAGAGTGGTGATGGCTTACCACTGTAGTGCTCTAGCGGTAGTACAGAAGAGACATCAACTAGAGCATTCAATTCATATATTTTCTTCTTCATGAAACGTCAGGTGTCAGAGCTCTGGACATAGCCCATCTAAAAAGGCTACTCTGTGTTGCGTTTAACTGGCTTGCAATAGAATTGACACAGCACATTGCCATATAAGATACTGCAGTTACAATTTGAGCAGCAATTTCATCCAATAATGGATAGACCACTCAATACTTTAATTTATCTGAACCATCACAGTAACCTGTACAGACAGAGTACCCTCTTGAGACACTACCAGACACACAGGAATACATGCTGCATTGGTCTCCACTCACAAGTATACACCAACTTGCGTACCAGTCCTGCAGTGCTGTTTATTGGCGGTCCCACACGCGTGCATTCAGGACTCGTATAAAAGGCTTTGTGGGGTGTCTAGGGTAGGTAACATTTGCAAAAACACATTTCTCCCAAGAGGAACGTATTGGGGAAGGGGAGGGTTTTATACAATAGTTAAATAAAAACCTCTTGCTTTTTCCTACCAAAATACTGAACTTTCAATCGAGCGACGGATCGACACGACAAGAGGCACTCGCATGTTGACTACTCATGGCTCTCTCCAGCCTTTCACACGGGGACGTCCAGCGGGAGTGGACCCGGAGAAGACGCAGCGGTGAATCCACCAGAAGTGTGCTGTTTGCTGCCAAGATACACCACCTCTCATTCACTCCCCCAGCCGACGAGCGCATCAGCAACAACCACTGTTTAGCACTAAGTGGTGGTGACATCACTGCGGCGTTCGTGCCATGCTAGGTGCACTGAGGCCACGTGAAGTGCTGAAGGCCTGCTGGCAAGTCACGCAACAGCTCCAGGTGCCATGGGTTGATAGGTCACAGGTCGATGCACCAAACGTGCGAACTTTCTGCGTTTTTAGCCGCTGGCACTCTGCTCATTGTGAGCGTCACTCCTCTGCCCTCCGTTATTGCTGGAGGGCGGCTGCCTCAAACTCCCTAGCAGCGTCCTTCATGAACCTCCAGAGGCCCATCTGGACACTGCTGATTCCAGTCATCGGAAAGTCCAATCATCTCCACATCCTGAACCACACCAGTCCATCTCTTGTGCCAGGCAGTACATCTTTCGGAAAATGTATAGTACATTAGATACAGCGCCATATAGTATTGGCGTCTACGCGGGTAACCTGTACAGACAAAACGAACCCTCTTCCTCCCACCCCTATATCTACACGTGCATACACACATACATACACAACCATATCGTCTCTCTCTCAAACATGCTCGCCTTTACACGGTGCCGTCTGGTGTTTAAAAACGGGACGTCGGGCACAAAACCCGACAAGAATATTCGATCCATCCACCTGCGGGGGCCTCCCGGATCAGCGCCTCTCTGCAGCGTGCGTTTAAACAAGTCAAAACCCTGGAGTGGTTTTGACTTCATTTATCAGCACAGTTCCCAGTGTGTACAGATGACAGAAAAAACGCTCAAAATAATTACACGTTGCCTGAAAAGATTACGGGTAAAAATAACAATACCTACAATCCACCATTTACACAGCACGTCGTGGCAATTGTACAGCGTGGTTGGCGCAGAACGGACAATCGAGTAGCTGGATTTAAAAGCCTTGCCTGCCTTTACAATTAGCGTTCATGCATTACACGAGTACGGCCATATATCATTTACATGATATAGAGTCTCTGTTTAATCTACACTTGAGTTCGTAAAACAATTGGTAAAAATGTTAAAAGCCTTGTAGCGAAGGCCAGCATCTCTCTCCACCCAGCAGTTCAGGCGTAACCCTGGTTACCGCTGCGGCGGAAGTCATTGGTTTCCGAGACAATACAGCTGAAGCTTTACGGAGGCTTGCGAAGTAATTTCATCTGTTGCCTGGTGAGAAAAACGAACATGACACGTCATTAATGACAAATCACCGCGCGTTTCATTTTGTAAAATTTACTTTTATTTGTCCTTGGTATTCGTGGCGTTATTCAGAATGAGCAACAAAATACCAGTCGTTTTTATAAAAAATTTACAGCATGCCTTCGTTATTTCTCAGCGCTTGTTTTACGCAGTAGTAGCCTCAGTCATCGAAATGTGGAATCTCCACAATTGGTTCAGGGGCACTAAAGGAGCCGAGGTACTGCTCTAGAGTTACTGTAGAAGTGGAAAATGATGACTGCTTAATTGTAAACGTACCCTCAAAGCAACACAACTTCATGCAAACATTTAATTTATTTTAGAACATCTTCACCAGACTTACCATGACGCTCCGTTCGGGACAGACAGACGACAGAAGGACAGAGTCAACGTAATAACGCTTTCGATCTAGCTCGGAAGGCGCTAATGGAACAAACGCGCGCGCACATCACACAGCGAAAGTACCTCGTACTTTCCCGGCCGAGTTGATGATCTGCTGGAGGCAACGGCCAAACTCCTGCAGAACGCGGCGCTCGGCTACGGCGCGCGTCTCCCCGGCTCCCAGGACCTCGTCCACCACCGTCAGGAGGCAGTCGCACGTCGCCTCGGCCACTTCGCGCGTCACGAAGTTGAAGGGCAGCCTGAGGGGGCAGCGGGCAGAGGACAGAGCGGAGAGGGCACGGGGGCAGTGGAGGGGGTGGGTTAGGGAAGCCCCGGGGGAAGCAGGGAAAGTTCCCGCTTTGTCGATCCCACACGGAGGGATGGATCAAGTCATTGACAGGGGTTTATGCGAGCCAGGTCTGTCTGGGTTGGCGACTCAGAAAACATGTCCACACCAGGCACACCACATCCGGTATACCTCATGCAATGGCCGTGGCTACTAAATCAGGTACCTCGTTTCATGGCGAGCAGATAAAACCCTGGTCATAACTCAACACTGATTCTTTTGATGCCAAATTCGTCAAACTTACACTTGGGTCATATTTGATAAAGCAACTGTAAGTAGTGCGATTCTCTTCTTAAGTGGAAATCAACTTAAATGAGTTGTAGGTCCTCTCTCCGTCGTGGTCGTAGACAGAGCTCAGGCATTAATACTCTCAACTTTGGTTGGAAAAAGCATTAAAACGGCCACCCTCTTTTTTCCCCCCTTTCTCCCAAGATCCGCAATGCCCCCCCCCCCCCCTTAATTTAACACGGGTTTTCTGGGCGAGATCGCGTAAATATAAATGCGTCGATGTGCTGAAGTAATAGCCAATTGGCACATTTTGTTCACGTGACAAACCTTACTAATCGGCTGTGTCGGGGTGGCTTAACAACACATTTACGCGATCCCCAGCCCCCCCCCCCCCCCCCCTCTTAGTTTTCCAACGCGTCGGGATGCAGTCGCCCTCGCGCGCCCTCAAAAGATCCTTTGCTGCTCCCTCCTCTCTCGATGCTCCTCACCTCTCCCCAGTGCCATTGGCTGGCGGCCGGGTGGGCAGGTCCGAGATCTGGCTCGACAGCTTGGTCTTGGCGGCCGTCTGCTGCAGCACGCGAACCTCGGCCGCGTCTGCCAGGTGCATGAGCGTCTTGCGCTCTGGGCTTTCCTCAAAGTTCTTGCAGCCGACGCACTTGCACATCGAGGAGCACATGATCTTGGCCTGGCATCCGTTGCACACACGCAGGCAAAGGTCGGGGGGCACCGTGGTGGCGAGATGTTAACTACTTCGCCCGGTGTGCAGGAGGTCGTGGGTGCCACTAAGTCGAGCTATCATTTGTGATGGCCAGGTCCCTTTTGATAGAGATGCTGGATAGCTCAGCGGGCTTTACCTGGTAAAATGTCCCTTCTGTAGAGTGCCATTCTATCCCTTTGGCTTCTGTGTGTTATGAAAGGGCATTGCCCGAAACATTGCTTGTAATAAACTTTTGAAAAAAATCTTGCAAAATGAAGTCTTTACATCAGCAACCAGCACCCCCGTCTAGAGAGCGGTGCGATTAGACTATAAATCTCCTTAAATACAACAAAAGCTGCAAAAATGCCTCTCACTGTGGTGTGGACTTAGTGGAGGATAAGTTGAGGCTCAAGAGGCGTCTCTAGCAGGTGGGTGCAAGTTGCTGGTGGCGGAGGTGCCCCCCGTGTTCCCGTCACCTCGTAGCACTCGCAATAGTTCTTGAGGCAGCCCGAGCGCTTGCAGTGGCAGCCCTTGTTGTGCCGCCGTTCTGCCTCGCCCTCTTTGCCCTTTCCAATTTTGGGGCGGAACGCTTCCGGATTCCGGTCCAAGCACGACTGCACCCGAAACAACGCATGTGTGTACAAGCACAGACACACACGCATATACACATGCTCTTCAACACTTTTGTCCACTCCCCACCCCCACCCCCCGAACCTTAGCTCGACTATAGAACAAAATCTGCAACAGCTGTCGCCATTTACCAATTAGTGGCGATGGTGTTACCACTGCGCTTGGACCAGGCTAGGTGCCCTGTGGAGTCAAGTGAAGTGGAGAATACTTGTTGGAAGGTTACGGGACAGGCCCTGCTACCCTGCTATAACAAGGCCGTAACAGCACATGTCTCCCAAGTACCAATATTCACACACTACAAGAAGAACCAATTTTAGCCGGAGTCGATGACAGCTTCAGATATTATTTGCCACTGATGTGATCCATGGCCGGGACTCAAATCTAGGTAGGTGGGGACTTTAGCGCAAAGTGCTAACCACTGCACAAGTGGGTGGCCAACACCACACCCGGCCAGCTTTGTTTCCCTGTCGATGTTTACACACCACACCAGGTACTCATTCAAGCCTGAGTCCACCTAGATGAGGCCGAAGCGCGGTTGAGATGTTTGTCACTGATGTTGGTCACGAGCGAGAATCAAACTTGGGTCGCAGGATTTCGTAGTTCAGGGGTGCTAACCACTGTACCAACACTCCCCCCACATATAAGACACGCACGCAGAGAAGATCATTAACACCTGGTGGTGTGTTGCGCTGCCGGAGGCAGGCTCACCATAAATCTAGGAAGCCACGCACACACTTGCAAATGAATGCGCACCGATAGCATGAACCAAGGACGCACCTTGATCGCTCGCTGCCTGTCCGACTCATGCACCAGGTTGTTTGAGCAGTTGCGACAGTTGCAGTTGTAGCAGAATTCGCCATTGGCAAAGCACTCGCAGTACCTGTAAGCAATAAAAACAATCGACTTGGAAATGGCCAATGTCAAGACTCGTGTTCCAACATTGACAGTATTCAGCAGAACACTCGTACTCGCAGGTAAAGTTAAGCTGGGAGAGGTGAATGAGCAAAATGTGCTACACATTACATTAAACTTGAATACGTGCCTAGGTTGTGTGTCTGGGCTCTCCAGCACAAGTTTAAAGTTTCATTATTGACACAGGAAGAAAAAAAAAAGACTCGAGTGACTTTCAAAAGTGCCATGTTAGTGCTTCAGTCACATTGTAATAACAAAGTACAGGAGTTACACTACAGTGACATCATTAAAGCACGATGAAGGTGACCTTGAAAGAAGCTTAAATTTTCTTTTCTTCCATGAACAAAGTTTAAAACTCATATTGGCCTATCTGCATGAACACAGTCTGGGCATGTATCTATCAAACAAGAGCTATTTGTTATATTGGCTGCACTGTGCCTTTAACGAACAAAAATCGTGTCTTAAAAAAGCCTTCTCCAATTGCGTGCAAAGTCTTGTTCTTTCTCAGCTCAATACTCATTAATCGAACAAGAAGCAATGAGTCTCAAGCCAGACTAATTGCTGGAAGTTGATTAGTTGATTGGTACTCACAGCTTGAGGCACTGAGACTTGGTGCAGTTGCATGGTTTCCGGGGCCGGGAAGCCGAGTCCGTCGTCGTGATGCTGCATGCACACGAGCACACGGCAACAAATCATGCAGGCAGGCGGGTGTGGGCAGGCGGTCAGACATTTAGACGGTCAAAGGGCGCTTTTGCTCTGTGAACACTGCTTAATTCACGTGTGGCAACGTGCGGTGGGAACAAGAGCCATCTTTGGTCGTGTGGTGCACCACCATCAGCTGTACGTTTTAGAAATGAGCTGTAGAAAAAATGTGAATGCTCACATTCATAGCAATGAGCCTTACACAAGACAACCTAGAACTTTCTTGCGCTGCTCTTCTACAGCCAGCTGGCTGGCTGGTGAACTAGACGGCTTTAATAATGCTAGTTAGGCTGGTGAATTTAATGGTTAGTGGGGATGCATGCCCAGTATGTTGGCTCACTCATGGGTTTGCATGGGATTTATGTTTCGTCGGCTGGCGAGTTGCCTGGTAGGTAGAGCTTGGCTGGATATGTTTCTAGGCTATCTGGCTAACATGATACCTGGGAAAGGCTGTGTAAGGTTGGATGACTGGATATGCTGTTTGCGCAGGCTCATGGTTGGAGGCAACACCTGGGCAGTGGCGAGCTGCCCTGCTGGTGCACGTGTGCGAACGTACCCGTTGACGGGGATTCGGGTTTGCGTGGAAGGAACGGAGGCAGCAGCAGCGAGGGGCGCCAACTTGCTGATGCTCACAGAGACACATGGCTGTGCCTGCTGCAGCTGGAGAAGCAGAGGCAGAGAGCGACGAAAAACACAATTAACACCACAGGATCAAGTGACCCAATTACACATTTACATCAACTCTAATTGTAGGTGTTTTAACTCAGTGAATCACATGGCGGGGGGGGGGGGGGGGTAGATAAATAAAGGCAGTCATTATTATAACATATGTACGATGTACCGCAGCGTTAATTAGTAATGGTGCGAGTTCATGCGGTGCGTGTATTTGCATAAGTGTGGGAGACGTTGCCTAATCATCGTGTATAACATCATCGGCCATTAGACATCAACCCAAGTTGGTTACAATCTCCGAAATGAGCTCCCCTTCTAATCCGATCTCTCAACAACGGCTTTGTCACTCCTACTGCCAAGAGGTCTTGCGGCTGCACAAGTGTCCAAGCAGGGAGAACTTGGTAGGTGGAGACAATCGAAGAGAGACATGGCAAAATTCCACCAGACACCCTCCTAGCAAGACAGAACCTCGCAGAGTATCGAGCCAACAATGTGCAACTGCCTCAGCAGTTGGCAGGCAGGCGACCTCGCATTGGTGATATATTGGAACCGGGTTACACACAAGATACCACCACGTCAGCCCTGCTAAATGCGGCTGCACGAGCGGCGCGTGCCGCTGGGCCGCCGTGCCCTCACTTGTGTGATGTACTGCGCGGGCATCATGGTGTAGCCAGCGGCGGGCGTGAGCAGCGTGCCGGGGGGCAGGCCGGGCAGGCTCGGCCGCAGGGGCAGCGACGACGCGGGCATGATGAGTCGGTGCGGGGTCTGTCCACGGTTCACCATGGGGCCCACCACGGGGCTCACCACGGACCCCCCGCCGCTCACCAGGTGAGGGCTCGGCGCTCCAAGCCTGGCTACCACCTGCGTGCAAAGTGGCACACGTGCATCAGAAGATGTCGGAGACTAAGGCTGGGGGACTTGGCGGCCCCGTAAGCCGTATCTGGTCCGTGACTTCATTACTTACAGACCGCGGTTGCACGAGGCCCACTCCGCTACTCTGTAAGGACCCATTAAAAACATTTATCCATTACTGCAAGCATCTTAGCCACACTACATACACAGTACAGTAAACCCTCGATTTAACGGACCCCCATTCAACGGATCTCGGATTTAACGGACAAAATCTGCTGATTCAGAGTGTTGTCCGAAGATCAGACAACAGACTTTGCCCCAAACAACGGACCAAGTCCGGTAATGGGGAAATCAGTCCGGTCAATATTCGTTTCTGCCCCTTAATGGGTTCAGTATGTATTACACTACATGGTTTTTTTTTGCTTAAAATGTCAAAATAGGATAAATAAAAGTGGAAAATGTGTTGTACAATACATTTACAGTACTTTGGTCTTTAGAAATATTTTACAGTACAGTATTGTGTACATAATATCACAACTAAGGTGAACAGTGATTGCTTGACGCTGGGACAGTTTCAACAGAACGGGTTGGTATGGTGTTAAAATACCTCCCATACTTGTTAAGTGTTGTACGGTACTGAACAATTGTTTATCTCGGTGTGAACTTTAAGAATGTCGTGCATTTTATGAAGGGTGTGCAGTACCGTACATTCAAGTGTAAAAATCCAGTACTGTATTACAGTATTAGTACTATAACGCATTACTGTATTATTCATGTACAGGTATTATTACACTGTTATTATTATTCTTACCATGTTCATGATTTTTTTTATTATGAAGAGCATTAGAATATTTTATAATTATCATTGCTGAACTATCAGTAAGTAGTTTTTTTGTGTGCTAGTGTGATTCAGCGCTCAAAATACGTCATTTGGCCATTAATGGACAATTGGATTCTACGGACACCCCTTCCGACCTATTAGTCTGTTAAGCCAAGGGTTCACTGTACACATGGGCACTTAAATACTTGCCATGCAGCCAGGATTTATATAATTTAACAGGATCATGTGAATGTTTTTAACCGTAATTACTATAAGGCAATATTTTTTACCACAACACGTACTATGTTTATAATTATAGCATACTCAAGTCACATGGCATGGTATGGACAGGCGTTCATTCAGCAGTGAATTGATAAAGGGCTGTAACCTTGAAAACATAGGCACCTCTAAAGGTGAGCGATAATTTTTGCATTATTATTATTATTCAATAACATTAAGGTGTTTTTTTTGTCTTATGAAGTATGGCCTGCCAAAGGTATCCGACAATCCTATTTGAACCTCGGAGTAAAGTAAGGAATAGGTTCCCAACTCATAGCAAAGGTGAATATTTAATTATTTATTTAGAACTGCCTGTTATGTTTAGTTTGTTGTCCTTCCCCCGCACTTATTAGCATGGTTGGCTACATATGGTGTGAAAGTATCTCAACATACATACGAACAAAGCTTTCCTCAATGGGCAAATTAAGTCTTTCATTGCTTTAATGACTGAAGGAGGTCATCACCTGTCTCTGAGCCGGAGCAATGGGAATGGGAGGCCGCAGCTGAGGTGTGCTGCTTACCGGCTTGGCTGCACACACACACACAAGTAAACGTACACATATTTACACACCAAACTTGTACACATTTTTGAATAAATAAAAGCCACATCTACATACACGGTACACGTGGGCACTTAAAATACTCTGAATATACTCGCCATGCAGTCTGGCTTTAAAAAAATTCAAATTTGTTATTGACATTTACTGTCGCATGGTATATTACCAGCAATAAAAATAGTGCTCGAAGCTACAGGTAGTAAGTGTGCTTCGTTACTAAGCCTACGATTACAATATCACACAGGGTTTGGCCATTCTTTTCTCTTAATGAACACAAGAGGAGCGCGGGAGAGGGGGGGCGGGCGGGGAAGGGGGAAGTGGTTGACTTGAGAGAGTGAAGAGCTGTAAGTATGAATTTGAATTAAAACTCAATGGTATTCATTTGTTTATCTGTTTTGCGTTCAAACTCAATATTTGTAAAACATGTAAAATCGTGATTTAAAGCTTTCGTGACTGCAGTAATTCATATTCTTAGCTCTTTCGGTAAAGTCACGTTGAAGGGAAACAACAAAATAATAAAATATATATAAAACAATAAACATTCTCACGACGTTTCGACCATAACACAAACGGTCGTCATCAGGTGCGCCGGCCAGCATTTAGTTATTTATTTAAACCGACACACCTGATGACGACCGTTATGGTCGAAACGTCGTGAGAATGTTTATTGTTTTATATATATTTTATTATTTTATTGTTTCCCTTCAACATGACTTTACCGAAAGAGCTAAGAATATGTAAAATCGTATCACCGATTCGTAACTCATACATTCAATGGTAAACGTGTTTTTTTTTTGGTGATTGCACATTGGCACTTGGGTTGTGAATTAATGTATTACAAATAAGGATAATTACGAAAATGATGGAAAATCAATCCTACAAGATCACATTTCCCAACTATTCACCGTCTGCTTTTGCCATTTATATTTAAAAAAACTGGAAGTTTCCAGGCGCTGCTGCTGACAGTGCAACCTTGGCCGATAACAAATCAAATGCACGACACAAACTGATGACACCGAAATGTGACCTTGTAGGGTTGATTGCCACCATGCTCATTATCATCTTTATTTAGTTCAGCTCTACTAGTAGTTGCATTACGTCTATATTTTTTATGCTATTTACGTTTACATAACAATACAACAAAGGTAAGAAACTGCGTGGGACAGATTTAACACTGGAATCCACCAAATTCCATACCTCATCTCTCTGCTCATTGGAGATATGCTGTGATGAGAGGGAGCACCACAATTTATATATGTGGTCCGATTAGGCGGTTCAGCCTCGAAAGCATTCCTCCGAAAGTCTAAAATGTAAGATGGAGCCTCGTACCCAATGGGAAAAAGGACCAACATAATTCTCAAAAGTCATGGGTAGAGGCATTAAAAAGCACTTCTGAATTGCAAGTACTTGTTAAAGCAATGCCATGTGTCGCTTATTAAGACGGTGTGCTGTGAGAGACGACGCTGGCGTGCGGTGCTGCAGAGGGTTGTGTTGCAATGTGGGTGGGGGTGCCCGCGTGCTGTCACCTGGCAGGCCCTGCGTGGTGTGCGTGCTGACTGGCGTCACGAGACGCACGTAGTGGAACTTGCTGCCTGGCACCGATATGGGCTGCATGGTGGACATGGGCATCGAGAGAGGCTTCACGCCGCCCTGCTGTCCACTCGTCTTCACCTGTAAAATACACGCGCACACGATCAATAATAATTACATTCATATCACACTTTTCATCAAGGACCTCAAAAGCGCTGTACAGGACACAGCAGGAACAGACACTCAGCATAAAAATATAAATACGTTTTAAGAAACATTTTACTAATTGAACTAAAAGTTTAATAAGCGGAAATGTATAAATAGGTTTTATGGCGCATTTTAAAAATGTCCGCAGGCTCAGAGATCTTGATATCTTGTGGAAGAGCGTTCCATAGCCTGGGAGCTACACGGGAAAAATCTCGGTCACCCATAGACCGAAACGTCGACCTAGGAATACAGAGAAGATCTGCGTCCCCAGATCTTATGGACCTTGAGGGTACATGGGTGCAGCATATCAATGTTGTAAGGCTGGGGCAAGATGGTTCATAATGAGTACAGGTATCTCTCCCCATTTCCGAACGTTCGGTTCAACGAAATTTCACGTTCACGCAATTGACAAATTATGGACACTTTTCGATGATCGAAATCGAATTCCCACATGAACAAAATTTCACTACGGCACGCGCCGTGAGATCAAACAAGCAGCAGCGCACGGGGGGCTGCGTATACATCCGCAACGACGTCACAGTATGGCTGCAGTGCAACAGTAGCGCCTCCACATCAACTATTGCAAGCATTCCAACATGCAGATCTTTTGGAGAGTTCCCTGAAAATGTTCATTATTTTATATTCAAATTAATTATTATTCAATCGTTTTACTCTGTGTTCCTTGTTATTATTTTTGTATTTTATGTATGTTTAACTTATTTTTGCACAAAACGTAGCCAAACGTATATTTTTAGTTTAGAAGTCGGAATGACTGTTGGGGGACACATTCCTAATTTTTTGTATTAAATTGATGGGAAAAGCCATTCCGGTGGATGAAATGTCGTTCTTTGCGTGTTTTTTAAAGAATGCATTCCTTTCATAAATCGAAGGATTTAGTCGTCTGTCAATCCACTGCTGATGAAAGCTTCCCCCCCCACGCTGTGTTTGCCATGGTGGGTGTTTAACCATAATTCATCACGCTTGTCAGCAAGGGTTGGGGTGAAGAGGGCAGGGGGGTCCAGGACGGATTCAGATACTCACCTATCGTGTTAACCTTGACCGTGGGAATCAAACTCAAATCATTGGGATTCATAGCATAGTTCATGAACCATTGCGTCACCTCACCGCCCCTATATTCATCACTGTACATCAATAAATATAAAATAAACTCGCATTCAAATATAACGCTAATTTAAAAGGAAATATATATTTGGCAACGTTTTGGGACATTGCTCTCTTTCATTGCCCAAAAAACATCACCTGTTTCCCTTTAAGGCAGTGTGACTCATAAATGAATTGAACTCTTTTGTTATTTGTGCTTGTGCACCACTGCTAATGTGGTATCACCACGTAATTTGTTCAGAAAAATTCAATCCGCGCTGCGCTGCATTGCGAGATGTCACCAATAGAATACCTGGGTCACCAGCTTGCCGGGGGAGCCGGCCTGCTGCTGCTGCAGGATCTGCTGAGCGACTGCCAGCGGGAGCGGCATGGCGGTAACGACGCGTTTCTGGGGCGAGTTCACCGGCGCCGGCGACATGGGCATCACCGTCATCTGCAAAACCACCGTGGTCATGTTTAAACGAGCACGGAGTGCGCAGAAAAAGTCTGGTAACCACACATGCTCAAGCAATCGGAACAGCATAATATAAATGTGTGGACACTGTATCTTAGCCCATGAACAAATCACATGGAATGCACCCCATCTCCTCAAGATCTCAGAAGCCAAGCAAGACTAAGCTGCTGCAGAGATAGTATCTGAGCAGGGGGCAATGTAGTAACATTAATTGTTGCAGTGTATGACTATGCTCTCTGCCTTCACCAACCTGCATTGACCAATGTGCTTACAGCCAAACAACTCCCACGACTCGCATTGTCGGGAAGCCCTCATCCAGCAGTATAGATTGGCAATAAGAGCTGTGCACGTATACCACACCTTAGAAGGGGACTTCAGTGGGGAGATGGCGATCTTGCCTCCAAGCTGAGGTCTCCCAGGAGAGCCCTCGGTCGTCACATGGGACAGGGTGAAGGTCTTGGTGGGCGTTCCGGGGGCACTGCCGGAACCTATGTAAACCAGGCATGGCGTCAGAGAAGAGCCTAAAATTTTTATTTTTTATTTTACCAGGTAAGGCCCGCTGAGCTATTAACACATTTTCAGAAGCGACGTGGCCACAAATAATAGCTCAACAAAGTGGCTTATCATGTGGAAATTTATAACAGCCAAATACTCTAAACGCATGTTTCTCAGTGTGGAGGGAAAATCTGGAGGACCTGCTGAAAAATCCACGTGACCATGGGGAGAACATGCAAACTCTAAATATACCGCAGGCGTCGGGGTCGGAATTGAACCCACCACCTCCTGCATACCAAGCGAGGGATATAAGATCTCGCCACCACGCCACCCATACATGCACGGGTGTGCTCACCGCATATGCATTGCAACTTAATATCGTCTAAAATAATCAACCCTCAGTTGTACAGGACTCTCACTTAATTGAAAAACATTTGCCACATAAAATCAGCCTGCAGTCATCCCATAGCAGGACAAAGAACTGAGCTGAGGGTACGCCGTCACATACTCGATAATTTTGGGCGTATACCCAGAATTCCTATAAGGCTCAGCCACACAGCTCAAGAAAGTAACTCCTCACTGACCGCTCAGAAGTCACGTCATAATGGGCGTGTTTTGCATTGTGCAAAAAGTGTTCCCAAATTCGAGCGAATACGCGTTGCGTGAACACATGTTAAGGGAGGATATACCGTGTATATGCGAGACATACGTGTGACATGTGTGAATAGACCTCCTCTAGCTGCATGGGCACTTAGACTCGATATCAGGTTGTGAGTTCAAAAGTCGGCCAGAATTTCACTCAGTCCATCATCTCTTCAGGCTTGCTAAATTGTATACCCTTTTCTGCGAAATCGGCTTTGTATAGATTGCCCACGCCGTGGGAATGTGGAATTTACACCACTGGCTTCAGTTCACCAAAAGAGATATGCATTGCCCCATTTCTCATTTAAGTATGGAGAGTAATTTTCCTTGATGACTGCAATTAATCATAATGGTGCACTGCACACGCACATGCATGCCGCAGATTAGTTAGGGTGGGAGAGTGCTCATGTAGAACGTGCAAGAGTGCATGAGTGTATGTGGGCACATGCGCGTGTGTGGGGAGTAGTAGCGCAGTGGTTAGCGTACTGCGTTACAAACCTAGCAACCCAAATTAAATTCCCACTCATGGCCAACACCATAACAATTACTTCAACCAGTTATGGGCCTACCCTAGGTCGCCTCAAATGAGCACCTGGTGTGGTGTGTAAACATCGCCACTCAGGAGACTAAGGAGGCTCGGCATGGTGCTTGGGTGCCATGCCGGCCTTCACAGGTGCTCACTAAACAGCACCTGCCCCAAGAGTCTGTTAGGACTTGGGGGGGGGGGGGGATCTTTGTTTATGTGTGCACACGCACACATGTGTGTGTGGCTACCGCTGATCAGTGTCCCCCGGCCAGTGCTGGGCATGGGCTTGATGATGAACTTGGTGATGATAGGCCCACTGCCCCCTGAGTGAGACGGCCCAGCCATCTTGGTCACCTGCACGCAGCAAAACCCCAGGCCTCATTCAAACACATGCATACTGCGCCATTTGTAGTCCTTTTTTACATAAAAAAATTATTAGGTTCAATTAGCGCCAAAAAACACCTCTTTTAAGTTATTTCTATGTCGCAGGTGCTTAGCACTAAATAAATTCAACATACACACAACTAACAATGCTCCTGATAGGTGAGTTAGAATTTTTCAATGTGTCATACACACCTGGTTTTACATGAAAACTTTAAATAAAATGTATTGCTCAAAATTTGTTCGTTTTCCTCGTGTAAAAAAAGTATTGTGTTCAATACAGCGAGGGAAAAAAGTATTTGATCCCCTGCTGATTTTGTACGTTTGCCCACTGACAAAGAAATGATAAGTCTATCATTTTAATGGTAGGTTTTATTTGAGCAGTGAGAGACAGAATAACAACAAAAAAATCCAGAAAAACGCATGTCAAAAATGTTATAAATTGATTTGCATTTTAATGAGCGAAATAAGTATTTGACCCCTCTGCAAAACATGACTTAGTACTTGGTGGCAAAACCCTTGTTGGCAATCAGAGAGGTCAGACGTTTCTTGTAGTTGGCCACCAGGTTTGCACACATCTCAGGAGGGATTTTGTCCCATTCCTCTTCGCAGATCTTCTCCAAGTCATTAAGGTTTCGAGGCTGACGTTTGGCAACTCGAACCTTCAGCTCCCTCCACAGATTTTCTATTGGATTAAGGTCTGGAGACTGGCTAGGCCACTCCAGGACTTTAATGTGCTTCTTCTTGAGCTACTCCTTTGTTGCCTTGGCCGTGTGTTTTGGGTCATTGTCATGCTGGAATACCCATCCACGACCCATTTTCAATGCCCTGGCTGAGGGAAGGAGGTTCTCACCCAAGATTTGACGGTACATGGCCCTGTCCATCGTCCCTTTGATGCGGTGAAGTTTTCCTGTCCCCTTAGCAGAAAAACAGCCCCAAAGCATAATGTTTCCACCTCCATGTTTGACAGTGGAGATGGTGTTCTTGGGGTCATAGGCAGCATTCCTCCTCCTCCAAACACGGCGAGTTGAGTTGATACCAAAGAGCTCCATTTTGGTCTCATCTGACCACATCACTTTCACCCAGTTGTCCTCTGAATCATTCAGATGTTCATTGGCAAACTTCAGACGGGCATGTATATGTGCTTTCTTGAGCAGGGGGACCTTGCGGGCGCTGCAGGATTTCAGTCCTTCACGGCGTAGTGTGTTACCAATTGTTTTCTTTGTGACTATGGTCCCAGCTGCCTTGAGATCATTGACAAGAGCCTCCCGTGTAGTTCTGGGCTGATTCCTCACCGTTCTCATGATCATTGCAACTCCACGAGGTGAGATCTTGCATGGAGCCCCAGGCCGAGGGAGATTGACAGTTCTTTTGTGTTTCTTCCATTTGCGAATAATCGCACCAACTGTTGTCACCTTCTCACCAGGCTGCTTGGCAATGGTCTTGTAGCCCATTCCAGCCTTGTGTAGGTCTACAATCTTGTCCCTGACATCCTTGGAGAGCTCTTTGGTCTTGGCCATGATGGAGAGTTTGGAATCTGATTGATTGATTGCTTCTGTTTGATTGATTGCTTCTGTGGACAGGTGTCTTTTATACAGGTAACAAGCTGAGATTAGAAGCACTCCCTTTAAGAGTGCTCCTAATCTCAGCTCGTTACCTGTATAAAAGACACCTGGGAGCCAGAAATCTTTCTGATTGAGAGGGGGTCAAATACTTATTTCCCTCATTAAAATGCAAATCAATTTATAACATTTTTGACATGCGTTTTTCTGGACTTTGTTATTGTCTGTCACTGTTCAAATAAACCTACCACTAAAATTATAGACTGATCATTTCTTTGTCAGTGGGCAAACGTACAAAATCAGCAGGGGATCAAATACTTTTTTCCCTCACTGTATATACTGGTTTGTAAAGGCCAAATTGGTTTTGATGCTAATTCTAACTAATGTAATCGCATTAAATATTACATATTTAATTTGAAGGAGACTGCTTATTTATTTTGTTCTTTTATAAATCTGTACAACAAGACAATTACAATTATTTAGAATTTCTGAAATGGTATAACGAGCCAAAGAGAAATAAGAACGAAATAAGCATTAAAAAAATTACACAATCAACTTAGGAATGCTCCCAAAAGTAACTTTCAACGTCGTTGCAGTTAAAGGAAAGCAAAGCATTTCACGTTTGAATTTTCCGCTTTGTGTGCGTGGCAGGTCTGGACACGCTGAGTACCAAGAATGCAACAATGTTTTAAAATTGTTATGCTTACAACACAAGCATGAGAATAATGGATGTATGTATGAATCCATTATTTATCATTCCTTTACGTTCATAACACTATCTTAACACAACTGTAGATTCTATAGATTCACACCACTATAAATACTACATGCATCACAAGGAAAAAATATATAATTTACGTGAATTAAATCATGCTGGATTAAAGGTCTTTCCATGCCATGTAGGTCAAGGGAGTTGTTGGACCATATTTCACCATGCTGGTCAGTTCAGGTTGGTAAAGGGCAGAGGAGGTGCCAAGACTGGTTCAGATATCAATAAGCTGTGGCATGGCCAGAAATCAAACTCCATGTCCTTGAGTTCACAGTGCAGTGGAGTATGCTAACCACTGCTCCCATGCGAATCGTTATATATCTACTGAACACATCAGTGACTGTCAATATGCATTTGTGTACGAGCTGGCAGCCAGTACGTCTGTCCACACTATTCCATGCCAACGTATGCAACCAATCAGCCGCGCACACCTACCTGCATCGAGCCAAGCTGCCCTGGCAGGCTGCTGCTGGAGGCCGGTGTCTGCGTCGTGCCTGTCTTGCCCACAGAATGCACCGCCAGCACCACCGACTGTCCCTCCCCGGCCTTGCCCTGTGCTGGGGTCATGCCGGGGGGCATGGCCAGCAGCACCTGCTGACCTTCCCCGCCGCTGCCCTTGCCCTGTGTACCCTGCACCGTGAGGAAGATGGGCTGTTCGGGACCTTTCCCCCCGCCGGCGGTCAAGCCGCGCACCTGTGTCCGACTCTGCACCTGCGCTACTGTGCGCCCGCCTTGCGTGCTGAACAGCACCGCCTGCTCCAGCTTCCCCTGCCCCGGCGAGCTCTGTACTGTCTGCCCATGGCCCTGCTGCAGCGTCAGCATCATGGGCGCTGGCTCTGACTTGGAGGCGGCTGAGCTTGGGGTGGACGCCGTGCCTCCGCCTTGCGGCACCGACATCTGCTGCACGGCCTCCGACCGTGGCTGTACCGTCAGCAGGATGGGCTGGTCGCTGCCAGGCAGCATCGCCAGCAGCACCTGCTGCCCTCCACCCAGAGCCATCCCACTCACCTGACCGCCTCCTTCTGACATACCCTTGTGATTGGCCGACAGCGCCACCGCCGTGATGGGCTGACCGCTGGGAGTCGTCATGGTGATGACGGGTTCTGTTGTCCTGGTTACGGGCCTCGTGGCAAACGACACCGTCGAGACGGGCCTGGTGGTCACGGCAGCGCTTGTGGTGGCCGTGCTTACAAGAGTGGCAACAGTGCGAGAGATCGCCACTTCTGCGGGCGCTTGTGCAGTGTCCAAGGAATGCGGTTGCCCAAGTGTCTGCGTCGCAACAGTCGGCGTAGGTTCAGCAGCTGCAGCAACAACGGTGGCGAGTGAGGCTCGAGAGGGAGCCTCGACAGTCGCCGGTTTCCCCGACAGCGCCGCGATCTGCCGCGTCATCACCTCCACCGGAGCCGTCGCTGCCTCCTCCGCAGGGTCAGCGAGTTCCACTGAGATGATGGCCACGTGGTCCTGAGGCTCCATCGATAGCATCATCTCCTCATGCTGCAGGACAGCTATGGGCTCGTCCTCGTCTTCCTCGTCATCACCTGCCAGTCGTACCTCCATAATCTCATCCGGAAGCAGCCCGTCCACCTCTGTGTCCATGGTGACGGCTGTTGGTCACTCCCTCCGCTTCGGGTCGAGGTCCTGCGTTGGGTGTCGCGATGATTAGAGAGGGCGGTGCGGCCTCGGGGCGCTGTGAACGCAATCAACGACAGGCACGCCGGAAAACTGTTAAGGCCGCCTTGTAGTGGGAAACAGGGACAAGCAGTTTGGAGGTGAGCACACCAGACAAAAAAACCATAGTCCTAATTAACTAGACAATTAGCCCGCAGTTACCACTAGCTAGCCAACAGCCACTACCTATCATAGCCAACTAGTCACCCGCAAAAATGGCAGTGAACTAGCGAAGCAGCGACTTGTCAGAACCAACTAGCCAAGGGACCACTTAGTCATAAACCAAGCGGGTAACCAGCAGCTCTAGTCACAGACAACTAGCCAATAATACCAACCTACTAATTGGCATTAACCGTAATCTTAAACCGATCTTTCACATTTTTGTCAGAGCTCGTTTTCGCTTTGCAGATTTGGTGTTCGCGGCACAGTTTCTGGCATGATCCCCTGACCTTGCTAAGCAGCTCTCCACAGTTGAAGGCGCATACGATAGGGGGTAACGTGTATTCCTGGGCGAGTAGGATTAGGTGTATAATATAGGCCTCGTAAGTAGGGTCAGGCACATGGGGCAGGTTCGTGGTGTACAAGACAGGGGGCAGTGGTTTTGATACTTTTCAGATCAATGTGCCGAATTGTCAAATCGGGCCCGGATATTACATTTCTGATGACCCGAAAAAAGATGTGTCCGTTTCGGATTTTAAAACAAAAAGAGATGTCGCGAAAGTGAGGCAAAAAAATATGGAGAGAGAAAATGAAATCTGAAACGCATGCCAAAACCGAGAAGATAGTTTGGCGTAAACGTATACATGGGCCAGTGAAGGGGCTAGGCGGGCAAATTGGTCACAGCAGACAAGAGTCCACGGGGCCTTCATCCAGCAGTGGAGAGGCTATGGTTGACCCTGCCGCTGATGGCGAGTGCTGTTGGCGGCAGAGGAGCGTCCTCGGCCCGACCCCTGTCGTCCTCCATGTTCAGGTAAAGGCGGGCGAGACTCGCGACTTCGTTCCTCGCAGTCGCCCCGGGGGCGCCTCAGACACGGACGACCTGGACGAGCCAAAGCGGCGCGATCCGCCCCCAGGGCGTCTCGCACTTCCAAAACAAAACCCTGCGCCCGCCCGATTTTTGTGACACCGCTCGCGTTTTTTTTTACGAGATAATTTTTTTTTGCTTCACCCCCCGCGCTCTGACAAGAAGTAAAAAAAAGAAGACGCGAGCTTGCACGGATTAAAAGACGAGCAACACAGCGCGCGGTACCGCGGTTGCGAGTAACGGCGGAGAGACGACCTCCTCCGATAAACACGGAGAAACGAGGCTGGGAGCGCGAACGATGAGGCGACGGCGGCGGCCTGGCGCGCGTCTTTACGAAGCGTCTGCTGCGGACAACAAACCGAAGGGTGTGCGAGGTTTCGAAAGTAGCAACGGGAGGCAGAGGCCGCGGGGATTGAGCGCGGCTTACCCAGCGCTCCGCTTCGCCGCCGCAGCAGCCGCCGCCGACTTCTGTTGAAAAATTCCCGCGCGGGCGGAGCGCCTCGCTCTCCCGCGCGGTGACGTCACGGCGCGGGCACGTGACCGCGCTGCGCGCAACGTCATCCTGCCGGGAGAGGGCGGCAAAGCGCGTTTGGGTTCTTGTGGCGCGATGACGTCATGTCATCGCTCGACCTGCGCTGTGACGTCACTGCACGGTACGTCATACTGCCGGGACGGGAGAGGGGTGGGGGCAAAGCGCGTTTGGGCACTTCTGGCGCGATGGCGTCACGCCCTCGGTCTATCTGCGCGCTGAGGTCACAGCGTGTTACGTCATCCTGCCGGGAGAGGGGGAAAAGCGCGGTCCTTCTGGTGTGATGACGTCACGCTCCCTCTCTTCCGCGCGATGAACATATCGCGACATGGTTTCTTGTTCATGTTTTTGTTTGTTGCGGTTGCACTCGATTCAAGAGCCGAATGGCTCACAGGGCTATACCAAAATAAATGGAACTATGAACTATGATATGACCTTATCACGTCGCCTTATACGCACTGGGATATAAAAACCGCCGCGCTTATGTGAACTGCGAAATGAGTGGAAGATTTTAGGCGCTCTGAATACGGAGCGACTCCCCGAAACGTCGCCTATTGTACATAATAAAAAAAAAATCCAGTGTTATTGACATGTTTTGACTTTCTTTTTTGTTAATTGTGCTTGTGCACCGTGGTCAACGCAAATAGGTTTTAACAAGTTGAATTTTACAGTAAAATATAAATTATTCTTTCTAGATTTGAAGCTTTCGTGACTGCAAGGATTCATACTCTTTGGTTTTATTCGGTAAAGTCACGTAGGTAAAACAAATTAATATAAAATAAACAATTAAAACACGACGTTTCGGAGGCAACGCAAGCTTCCGTCTTCAGGTGGGACCAAGTGATGCAGCGATTTTGGCTGTGACTGGTCCCACCTGAAGAGGAAGCTTGCGTTGCCTCCGAAACGTGTTTTAATTGTTTATTTTATATTAATTTGTTTTACCTACGTGACTTTACCGAATAAAGCCAAAGAGTATAAATTATTCTGATTAATTGGGGGGGGGGGGGGGGGGGTGATAATGCAGCAAGGCTGGCAGTATCTGTTTTTTTTCCATCGTGTTTTTCATGGTTTAAATAAAAAAAAAACCCGATCATCTCAGATGGCCAAAAATCCGGTTTTATTCGGGTTTATTGCCTATTAATCCCTATAATGATAGCTCCCAGCAAAGAGAAGAGAATCAACACGTTCCGCTACAAGATGATGATGGTCAAAGGTCGCAATACGCCGGTGGAGTGTTTGGCTGTCCGATGGCAGTGAGAGCTGCAAAAGGTCGCCGTCCAGCTGTCCAGCATCGCCACGTCCAGCGCCGCATGCGAGAGGAACTTCTTCTCCACCACGGCCTTCGTTCACTCTCCGAGCTGAGGAGGAGCAGCCCCAGCGTGAAGTCGGTGGAGAAGGTCGTCGTCTTCATCAAGAGCAACATTCACACGCCTTCTTCGACGGCGCGGTCGAGATGATCGAAGAGGATAGCAAATCCGATGACTCTGGCGCCGATTGACGACAACTTGACTTGCCGGATTAAAACAATGTTTTTTTGTTCAACAAAATCTGTTTTTTTTGTTAAATAAAACCAATAACCCGATAAAATTTGCCCCCCAAAAAATAGGGTTTTTTCCAACCCTTGTGGTGCAGTGGCCCAGATTGAAATGGTTGAATTTTGACTGACGTGTTTTCAGCTTTTTCTTCAGTTTCATTTATTAGGTATAGCCCTGTGAGCCATGCGGCTCTTGAATCGGGTGCAACCGTATCAAACAAAAACAAGGAACATCTTAAAGTGACTACGCGCAACAACAGACAAATTCAGGAAAAAAACAGCATATCGTGATCGGCAGCCACGTTCTAGCCACTGCCGGACGATGACAATCGAGCAATTTGCAGGGGCAAATTCTTTCAGCTTTGGAACGTTTTGGCCGTCTCCATCCCCACAGTTTTTTGGCGATGCAAACGAATCCACACGGTTGTTGCTCACTCGCACGAGCTGATGCGATTGCTCATTCTCCATAATACCGTCCAGGTTTGTGGATTTGATCGCGTGAATGTAAATGTGTCGTTAAACCCGCCACCACCCGACACAGTCAATCGGTAAGGTTTGTCACGCAAAAAAAAGAGCAAATCCGTTACGAGTTCAAAGCCGCAACATTTACAATTCTAGTACGACGTTTAGCCAGTAAATTAGATGGAGGCGAAAGCCTTCGTGTTTAATCACAATGATACTACGTCATTCGCTAGAGGCCATTATCTGCTGGCGTCAGGGTCCAAATTTGACAAAGTTGAACACTACACCTGTCAACCACTTATCAGTGCCTACCTTATTACAGACCAATGCAGATCTTATTTGTCACGCCTTGCCCCTTATAAATCCCAACGTTCATCCTATACACGACTATACACTGTGCTATACACTATACACTACACTATACACTACTATACACTACACTACTACATACCTGTCAACCCCTTATCAGTGCCTGACAAAAGCAGTTCTAAAGAAATTAGTTTTCAATCTAGATTTCAAAGTGCATAGCTCCAGTGGATTCCTTATGTCGGAACGAAGAGCGTTCCAGACGGACGCAGAAGCGCACCTGAAAGCGCGTGAAGCAGTGACCGTCTTTGTTCAATGGCCAGCCATGAAAGAGACTACGGTAGTCTCATGTGTACACATACTCTATGAAAATATTTTTCCCCACATACCATATTTATGGCAACTATATATATTTTATACAGATGTAAACTATTTTTTTAAGGAACTAATAATAATACATGTAAAAATAATAGACAATAAGATGCACTTACTTTTCACACTGATGGTTGTACAGTATAGATGCCCAAATGGGTTATTGATCAGCTTCTGTTTTGGTAGTGTACCATGTTACGATCCACCATTCCATCGCTTTGCTTCGATTTTACGTCCTGGTTTTCAGGAACGCATCCTGGGTGTGAACCGGGGTGTGCCTGCATTTTTGAATCATGCAATTTGTCTGCAATTTATTTTTTATTTTTGGCGAGTTGTTGGAATAATTTACAGCATGGAGACACTCTACTTAAATTACTACAAAGGGGAGATATAAAAAAAAAACATTCTGGAAATGCATCATGAATGAAAATTGATAATCCTTGGAATCTGCGGGGGAATAGGTGAATATAATTGCCTAACTAATGTGGTCATCCATATCTTTCCCAGAAAACAGGTACCCCAATAAACATCAAATGTTGGGCCAATGTTGCACGTTTACTGAGATGTAGCGCTCGATAATGCACCCTTTATCTTACACAGCTTTTATAAAAAAATATCCTTTTAATTCGCTAACATCTGGAAAATATGGCAACATATGCTTCTTTAGATGACAGTTTATAATGAATTTCCACGTATGAAATAGCTTGACAAAAAAATCATTGATTCATAGTACAGATTAAACACGGCGTTTTGTTGACAGTGAAACGATGACAACCCCATAGCGTCTGACGATGGCACAAAGAACGAGAGCTTACACAGCACCGCGCAGTACAGTATATTCTAATTGTAAATCTCATTCTCACCCAGGGGAATGTACAGAGATTATAAAACTTGCACCGCCAGCAGAAACAAAGTATTACATCAAAGAGGACCATACAGTGGACACTACACAGCGACAACATTCCACAAACTGGGACAGCTCGTTATGGAATGTTTCACTGAACAAATGTACGACAAACTGTGCGTTTGTTCTGATGGTAGCATAACAATCTCAATGCCATAGATGGGATCCAGATGGCATGGTGTTCTTGGCAAGTCCTGGGCAAATGGCAACATTGGGCTTCTTCATTGGCAGAGAGAGTATGGATGGCACTTTGACAGAAATACTGTCACAAATTTCCATGGGGGGACCATTTCATGTTGCCGGATTGGCCTGGGAGACGTGGCACATGATGCTGTCTCTGGGGGTGTGCGCGCCCGTCGTGTTGAGGGCTGCGAGATTCGGCGAGTTTGTGACTAATTGGACGTTTTCGTAAGCCGTTGTGGAATGTGATTCAGAAAAAAAAACCCTCTTAAATAATTGTGCTCTTTTGTGCACTCCACTTTAACAAATGGTGCACTTTTGAGTTGAGTTCATTTACATAAAAAGATAACTTGGATTTTATAGCATTTAAATACGACCGCATATGAACACGTTGTACAAAAAAACACTGTGCATATTTATTTTATAGACAATGGCAGTCAGTCATAGGCAGACTTGAACAGGGCAGAGTGTTGACAGCAGGCATTTCTGGGGGAAGGAAGTCACAGACAATAGAGGCAGCGAGAGGAGAATGAATGACTTCGCACCGAGAAAAGGTTGAAGGTTGGGAAAAAAAACGGCAGCCCAGGTCACATTGCCCTCCATCTGATGCTGCGCATGGCGGTAATGCGAGCGCGTGCGCAACGTTTGTGTGAGTTGTACACGATCCTGAGGTCAGAAGTCATGATCCCAGCCCGACGTTTCATCTGGGGGTACGTCCAGGTCTTCTGGAAACCAGTCAAAGTTCTTGAAGTCTGTGGGCCCTGACACCTGCATACAGCACCAGGCAGACGACCCCACATTTATGTCGATATGCGACCGCACCACGAGATGCTGCACAAAAAGAGTGGACTCCCTAGCTTGAGCGTCAGCTGAGTTGCCCACATAAACGGACTAAATGCAAGAACCTGCCTCTCTCTTTAGCGGGGAGGCCAGCTGATTAGATCGGAGGCTTTCCCAGTCAAACCCCTGGAACCACCTGCAGGAGAAAGGCACAGCAGTAAACCAGCTCAGAAATTGAGTGGCGCAGTGTAAACACATTTTTTACACCACAGGGTTAGGAGTTGTCTCAACATGTGATATTAAAGTAATATATTTGTCCAACAAAGCCTCACATGTCAT